TGACCTTTAGTTGTTTAAGGCCTTGCGGGTGCCCATAATTTCTTTCATTCTCTTTATAAGAACTTTATAGTCTTCTCATTGGCAATTAATCCTACCACATCTTCTTATATCTTATGTAGTTTGTTTTTTTTAATTCGCAACGCTTGTTTGTAATTATCAGCGTGTGATTTATGCTTCATGCCAAGAAATTGCCTCTGTTGAAATTCTGCAAACACCCCATAGAGCAAATTACATGGATGATTAATATTGACCATTTGGTATATGACCGTGTTCTAAGCGACACGTACATGAAGGTCATAAATTAATTTGTTGAATGAAATTAAATCTTTTTTTATCTACTAATGAGTGCCGTAGGAGGTCGACCGGAATTTTTAGCGAGGATTTCATGGCATGTAACAGATAGAAAACTCAGGGTTAGAATTCAAAGAACAGAAAAGGGGCAGTGGCAAATATTTCATGTATATTATGAACACAGAGAAGATTACCCCGGCACCCTTTGCCAAAAAAAAAAACCTTCTTTTTCTTATTTGTGCCTTCGGACTTTATGTTTTGAATTGTAGTTTCACTTTCCATATTCGGTATTTATTAAAATGTAAGCTCCACGCGGTAAAAATCACGTGATGCAGGAATATAGTATCTTGGAGTTAAGCTATTTCTTTCTTCTCGGGCGGGGACTCCAAGCAAACAACATGCATGTGTATAACGGCACTGCAGATTTTCGTATTAAATAAAGAAATTTGCCGGTCCGGTACATGAATAGATTGGTTAGAAAGCAAGGTTTTAATTTTAATTAGATTGGAAAGATTAATTCGAGGGTTGAAAATAGAGAGCACAAAAAAAGGGGGGGGGGGGGGGGGGGGGGGTGTTCCACAGGGAATATTTATATCTTATGAACTCTACATTTGAAAGGTTTGTTATTTTTTTTATTTAATTAAAAAAGAGAAAAACAAATGTAAGACAAATTGTGAATGGTCTTTCTTCCTTTCTCCCATGACAAGAAATTGCCTCCGTTGAAATTCTGCAAACACCCCATAGAGCAAATTACATGGATGATTAATATTGACCATTTGGTATATGGCCGTGTTCTAAGCGACACGTACATGAAGGTCATAAATTAATTTGTTGAATGAAATCAAATCTTTTTTTAGCTACTAATGAATGCCGTAGGAGGTCGACCGGATTTTTTAGCGAGGATTTCTTGGCATGTTGTAATCTCATTGTGTTTTTCCAAGTGTAAATTTTGTGAAAGATGATCTGACATATACATTTCCATGTGCCCGTGTATTAGAGGGTCACAGCTCCATTTATGTTCCACAATATACCCTTTTGTGCACATCTTTACTTTGCATTTTTAACTCGCAGAATGTGAGACATAGGTACAACAATCCTGTGGCGTTTATATAAAATGAAGATGTGATATGCGGGTTGCCAATGAGACAACTCTCACAAGAAACCAAATGTCACATAAATTAAAAACATGACGGCCTTCAATAAGCTCATATTGATACCCAGCTATACAAGACCCCGAAATGACAAATGTAAAACAATTCAAACGAGAAAAAAAAAAAAACCTGACGAAAAACAAATATGTATCACAGCAACAAACGACAACCACCGAATTACAGGCTTCTGGTTTGGGACAAGCAAATACAGAATGTAGCGGGGTTAAATTCGTTTTTTTGGCGCCAAACCCTTCCTAACATGGGACAGTGGTATGACGGTACAATGAATCAGATGGATACAAATAGAAATACATCGAATAAAAACACAGAGTATACGTGGACGGGTATTTGTACATCACAACATATTTGTACAGATCTGATAGTACTCGCAGTTACTGACAGCTAGTTCAAAGCCTATAAAAACTATAAAAATAAACATGCATCTAAGAATAACTTTGTTTAAAACTTTTTAATTTAATTTTGGATGTAACGCGTCTTCTGATTGGTTGACGTTGTTTTGTTTATCAGCTCATAGACATAATTTTGTCATGTGACCGTGACGTCATCAACGTTTTTTCATGGTTTACTCCGGTTTAAAATGGAATTTAGAATTAAATTATAAGAAATGACTAATATTTTTTCTGTCTATTCGAAATAACATAAAAAATGTGGTGCACACTTTAAAATAACCCGCTACGCTAACTTGTCTTGAACAGAGACCACCCAATGGTCATGTCCGGTATGGTGAATCTGCGCTGATGGCGGTACCTGGGGTATCATATGTAGAGAATATGTCCATTGACCGTTTTTGGATAGAACAGGTGCGTAGCCAGTATATTGAAATCCGTTAACATTTGGAAACTGCTTTTTCAGGAGGTTTTGGGCAAAGTTAATTATATTGCAAGAAAGTTTTCTGTCACATTCTATGTCTCTTTTATCGGTGAAAGTTAACGAGATGCTATCAGATAATTGAAGCCACAATCGTTGTGAGGTAATGGGCCAGCTGAGGACCACCTCCGGGTGCGGGATTTTCTCGCTGCATTGAAGACCCATTGGTGGCCTTCGGCTGTTTTCTGCTCTTTGGTCAGATTGTTGTCTCTTTGACATATTCCCCATTTCCATTCTCAATTTTATTTCCAATATAAAAGAATATTTTTTTTATAAAAACATAGTGGGAAATAACCAAGTTCTGTAAATACAGGAAAGTTGGCGGTATTTTAGTCACATTAGTTTTTGTATGAAAATTGTCATATGGTCTGCACATTACTAGGTTGTCTCATTGGCAATCATACCACATCTTCTTTTTTGCATTTCCTATAAACATTTAAAAATCTACCTTTTACAATAACTAATCTGATACAAATGTATTACAACTTTTTACCGTGCATTCAAAAAATATTTTAATGGTTTATTTCATACATGTACATAATGAATAATCATTTGCATTCCAACATACTTCTTTTCAAGGTATTTTGTGACTTTTCCGTTTATACTATTTTTATGTCACCTAAAAATTATTTTCAAAACTTTACATGCAGTTTTTCGCTTATTAGATGTGAATATAAATTGTATGGTGATACTGAGTATCTTGCTGTATTTGCATTAACAGTGACCAGATTTCTCTACCACAAAAGGTCAGATACCAGACATTACTATCTCTGTCATAAGTTAGGCCTTTGCAGTGGACGATAACAGAATAATATCACCGGCATATATTAAGCAATTCATTCTTATAGAAGTTTTAAAATAAATTAAACATAAAAAATCGAGGAATCACATTTAAATCTCAAAATAAACACACACAAAAAATTGAATCCATTTATGACATAAAACAAGTAGATAGTTACGGTTTCTGGGGGAAAAAATCTTTTAATTATTTTGTATTAGGTTTAACAAAGTATCATAACCATAAAATACTGGATGTTTTATTTTTTCATTAATCGAAGAAAAAAAAACAGAAAAAAACCCACATTACAGCCAATAAACTAAAACAATTAATACTTCTATCTATTTGACAAAACAAAAACTATATAGAAAAAAAGAAATAAGAATTCAAAAACACAATCATCAATCATAGGCCGAAGTAATGGTCCAAATTTGGTATAGGCCGAGTTAACCAGTAGCGTCATAATCGACCCAAAAATACAAATACAAAATGGAGTTGTCTCCCTTTCAGGTTCGGGCGACCAATTTGTTGGTAATTTCCACGATAAAAATTTTTTGCAAAGTTGTAAGAACAATTTTAAGTCAAATATGAAAGATTATTACATTTGGGACATAAAATAAGAAAGCGAATTTAATCACTTAGGCAGATTAAGGTTTGGTTTAAGAAAAACTTTTAGGTTCGGGTTACCACTTTTACCGAGTTGGAAATTAATAAACCTTAAATTTATCATTGTTAGTGATGTTTGGAAAAAAACCTTTTCATACATGAGATAAAATTTAATTATACATCAAATATATAAACGTTTGTAGAAAAAAACGAAACATAAAGGACATAATATATGTAAAATAAATTTCCGGTTCGGCAAATTTCCGGCAAATTCCGGTTCGGGTTCGGGTTACCACTTTTACCGAGTACCGTAAAAAAAAGCTAAGTATATAATGTGTCACTCAGAGAAACTACAGTACCTAGCTGAAACAAGCTAGCACAAAGAGACCAGTTGTGTCAAACTATATATTGATCAGGATCAGGATTGTATTTATGTTCATGGAAGTTTTTATAAATATCAAATGTTGGTGTACATGTATGAAACGGGACGAATATATTTTTATTAGACCAGGTATAAAGTAGCCAAGAGTTAAAGTGAATGTGTCTCACATGCTAATGATTTGGTACATGGACTTTTGATTTGAACCTGCCCTGAGACGTCCAGCAAAGTTCATGTATAGTATCGTCCTTGCATTCAAATTTGATTCATTTTGTTCCGTATTTGCTGTTAAAGGTTTACAATGTTCCATTATCTGAGCATGAAGTGATGGCGTCAATATTTTCCACGGAGATTGTGAATAACACTTTAATTTGAGTTTCACTTTGAACAGTTTGAAAACGGATGTTGACAACTTGTTTGGGTATAATATTTTCGGAGACAAGGGCGGATACCTAAGACCGAAATCCGAATGTAATTCATCAGTGGTTGGTGTAAATAGTGGATTCAATATATGAATAGGAATTGTCAAATGATGAAAAATAGGATTTCAATTTTACACATACATATCATTTTACACTTAATTTTTGCCTTTTGAATCATTTCCTGGGATCACACTTATTTGAAAATTATTAACTGAATATCTGAAATAAGCGTTTACCTTTTTTGTTGTGTGGCATAAAGTTTGAGCATCCAGAATGTAATAAATGCAACATTACAACGTGGAATGCCAAATCCAACGTCAAACAATGGCCGCCATTACGTGTTGACAACGTCGTCTAGTGAACCGTATCACTGAGCACCGAAATCCTTACTCAGACGCTTCCGGTTGTCCTACTGAAGCGTTAAAAATAATAACCAATCAAATGGCCTGAAAAATTCAGCGAGGGGCATTCAAAATATGAAAATCTACTTCCTGTTGTCAATTTGCTGAAATGCATCGCACTTGTTGTTCACTTTTTATATTGATATTTTGCTTTACACACACTGACAGTTTGGTTCTAGACTCCATAAAAGGATGGCTTTTCGGCCCAGACACAGATATAGACAAATCATTCTCGAAAAATGTGAAATTCGAAGTGGTATCAACAGACAAAAAGTTTCTGAAGTTTGCAAGTGAACTGAACGAGATGTCCCCCTTGGATTCTTGTTATCATATAGTAATTATACTTTATATTATACGAGGACTTCACTGCACTAATGTACAAACAGGTCACGAATAATCATTTATTGGTCGAATATACCTCAAATTTAATATTATTCATGTATCATTGTGTATAGTAGACTTGTCTTCAAATTGGTTAAAACATGAATAAGTAAGAATTATAGTTATCTCGTACCATTGTAAACTCGTACCAATGTCAACTCGTACCACTAAAAAAAACTCGTACCAATGCAAACTCGTACCACGGCTAACTCGTACCACAGAGAAAACCGTGGCAGATTGGCTTTGTTGTCTCTCTTGAATTGACTCTTTTTTAAACTTTTACTGACAACTGAACTATTTGATTTAATTTTTAATCATTCCAAATCGGTAACATTGAATAGATTTGTGTATTTTTCTATTGTTTCTAAAAGGAATTTTATTTAATGAAAGAATTTATTAATTGTGTTTTAAAGGTTTAAAATTGTTTATGACCAACAGTTAGAAAGTATGAAATAATATATGTTTATATAATATTCAGCACTTTGTAGCAGAATATGACCATGCTTTTATTTGATATAAATAATAGGTCATTATCATTCTTCTAATTTATAAATATCACCTGTAGTGGAAGATATGCATAGTTCTTTTAGAAAAAGTAGCCAATATATGAAATGGCACCTGAGATTACTCTCGGTTTTAAGTGGGGTTCGTGTTGCTTAGTCTTTCGTTTTCTATGTTGTGTCTTGTGTACTATTATTTGTCTGTTTGTCTTTTTTATGAGTTTGACTGTCCCTCTGGTATCTTTCGCCCCTCTTTTTTAATGATGTGTCTAATGGTATTGTGAATGACCAGTAGGCGTAATGGTAGTGTTGGCAGAATAACAAAGAATATGTTTCATTTTGATGCTTTATTTACCACAATTTCAAGAACATTCATGTATAAAAATTAACAAAACATCAAATATTACTATTTTTTTCTCTCAAGAAATACACCTTATGTTTTATTAACATATATATCATATATTATTTCACATATATATCATATATTATTTTGTCTAAGTTTTCATTAAATTCTGGTATAAAATTCAAAGATATTTTAATTTTTTGTATAAAGCTTAAAAAAAATAATCATAAAACATTCGTATTTATGTCTAAGTTTTTATTAAAATCTAGTATACAATTCAAGTAATTCAACTTTTTTTGTTAAGTTTACCCCCAAAAAAATCATAAAACATTCGTATTTTTGAATATATTTTTAATGGTACGAGTTTGCAGTGGTACGAGTTCTGATTGGTACGACTTCCCAGTGGTACGAGTTTACGTTGGTACGAGTTAACTTTTTTGGTACGAGTTTACGTGGTACGAGTTTACAATGGTACGAGTTAACTTGCTTCCAATAAGTAACCTGTAATTGGTATGGATCTGTATGTCCCAATTTCTCATTTGCCCTCCAAGTCTGTTTTTCGAGGACTTGTGAGCCGTATTTTAAAATTTTAAGTTCAAGACGATTTCGATTTGTGCATTTTGCCATACATTTCTGGTGTCACAATGCTTTATCATTTCATGTACATCACTGTGAGAGGTGATTGTTCAATGACCTCATTTCCGCTGATTGACCCTGGAATCTCCATGAAGTGTTTTCTAGTGGTGCAACACCATCTTCAAATGATCCCTGCTATTGTTAGATTATCATGATGATCCACTGCCATCATTAAAAAACTGCTATGATTTTAAGGTGTAGTCAAATTTGATTTTGTTAAGCTAGCCCTCATCATTTTTGTGAACAATAATAATCAATTGCATGTAATTGCATAACTCCATACGTATTTTGATCCAAAGGAGCCTCCTGGTTACTGTTTTTAAGCCCTGAGGGATATGTATATGTTGGTAAATCGACACACCTGACATGAGAAAACATTGATCTAGATAGATGATGAATTGCATTATTTAAGGTAGCACAATATGAAAACAACAAAACTTTATCAAAATTTCATTTTTAGTTGTTTTTGTAACTTTTTACAATTCAAAACCACAGAAGAAAACTATGTCAGTATGATTCCATATCTTACACTGTTAATTGGTGTTTTGGTGATAATTAGTTTTGTAAACAAATGCATGTGTCTGACTGATATCAGATAAGAACATGTGGGTAGTGCTTCGTGTGCTTTGTGGTTAATCAACAGAATCATTTGAAAGCTTTATGACCACTGACCAGCTATCAAAATAGCAGTTGTGGAAAATGAGGTGGATTAGAGGTAATAGAAAAAAAGAAAATAAAGAACTGCAAATAAATATACATTTATACATTAGAGCTGACAGGAGAAGAAAAAATGAAACAATTTGGAGTTAGATATACATGATATAGGGAATCAAAATATAAATGTAAAGTATTAAACAAAAATAATTGTACAACAGTTAATGTTGCTGATGTGTTTATGATGATTCTAATATTAGAATTTCTTGAGGGGAATGATTAAACTTGGATTCTTTTTTAAAAAATTAAAATCAAAACACATTAATTATTTTTTTCAAGCTACAAAAATAGAAATTCAAGTTTGGGTAAAATACTGCATAATCTTTGTATCCAATCATAATTCTAAAAATTCCCCATATACACCATATGAATCTTCTAGATTAACCAACTGATCGTTTAATGTACACAATCAAAACTTACTTTTTGGGTGAAATGTTGAAAACAGAATGCATTGTATCATGTGCTTAATTGATATTATCCAAATAAAAAAAAAGCAATGTGTAATTTATAATCTGAGATCGTTCATAGTTAATATTATCAAGGTTGGCAGAGTTTTTATCATATCAGTAGCAACTGACTTAGAGCAAGGTCAATTGTGATATAACTTCTCCCACCAGATCTGATTTTCAATGCATAGGGTATACATTTTCTTTGTATATTTAAAATTGCTGAGATGTAATGCTCTATTACTTGTCAAAACCTAATTGATTTATGATTAAAGGCTAATCCTGAGGTATCCCCATGGTAAATGTGTGAATTACATTGAAGTAAAATTAAATGAGGTTTAAGAAGGAAGATCCTTATTTATTCAATTGTGACACCTACATTTTTGTCATGAAAGTGTATTTTTAAATGAAATTAGTTCCTAGATGGCTGCCCCTATCATGCCTATATGTGTGATTTTAGCACATGTTGTTCTTTGACCAGTTATCTTCAAAAGGGTGTCTCAGATTTCTCATAACATCATATGAAAATCAATAGAACAAATTTTATAATTTTATACCCTATTAAATTTGGTGATTTCTTTAGAAATATGGTTACATACTTAATTGGAATGAAATACAATAGGAAAAATCTGAGACACGCTTTTAGTGGTTAAACTGTGATATACAAGAATCTTTCAAATATTTTGGGATGGTACATGTACATGTATGACAGTCAGGGGTACTACTTGTACAAGTAATCTTTATTTACTTGACGAAGTAAATAAAATAAACTTATATAAGTTAATTATAATGTTTGAATAATCTCCCCTTAATTTTCTCAAAAATTTACTTGAATAAGTAATTTTTTTTCACAATCCCACAAAAATTCTTAAGTTTTGAGATGTAAAAACATGCCTTTAACAATTTTTCTCAGGTTAGCTCATAATTTTTTATTAGAGTTCAATGTTTCATCTCATTAATTCAACAAAGAATCTGATTGCGCAAAGATCTTAAGTATTTGCGCAAGGCCTTCAAAAATTGCCCCTTGGGGGCTTGTAAAAGAGCAGTGTTCTGAAGATAACAGACAAATGAGATTTTCATTGTCCATGAAATTACACTTAAATGATTAGTAAAGACATCTGCAAAGGACAGACAATCAAAAATTCTATTAGAGCAAAGAAGTCCTAAGAATTCAAGAAAAGAAGATAGGATGACTTTTTTACTTGTATAAGTAAAAAAATATCTTAATGTCTAAGGGACATTACTAAGCCCAATTTTTTTTTACCTATACAAGTAAATAAAATACACTTGTATAAGTATCCTACAAATTTACTTATATAAGTATATTAATATTTACTTCTTCAAGTAAATAAAAATTACTTGTACAAGTAGTACCCCTGACTGTATGAATAACAACCAAACTAATTTCATTCAAACATGTACATCACTATCTACATGAAGCAACTAATTATGTAATGATTATGCAATAATGAAATTCTATCTATTTGGAAGATAAATCTTTCTTCTTTCTTTTGGTTCCTCATTTTATATGAACTTTAGAGCTGTTTTAAAGAAATTACATCAGTTTAAAGTTATACATGTATGATTGGGGTTGAAAAAATCTTTGTATTGTACTTTTATTATTTTTCAGCAAATGCTTATGAAAATTTTGAATAAAAATTAATTTAAATTCAATTACAAATGTACAAAGAAAAATATTAAAGAAGTCAAACACATTCTTTTTATTGACCTATGCAATCCGTTTCCTTCTTTTTAAACAAGTCCAAGATTAGACTCCTAACCATAAAAAAGAACATAATTTCATGCCAAATAAACACAAATACAACAATTATGAATCTCTTTACAAGTGTAAAAGTAGATACGCAAATATTATCTCTGAAACTGGCATAATTTATGCAAAATTATGCCAAAAATCAGGTTTTAACGAAACTCACCTACATTAATTATAGAATAATGTTGCAGATATAAAAATAAGGAGATGTGGTATGATTGCCAATGAGACATTACCCTATCCACTAAAGTTCAAATGAAGTGGATGTAAGCAATTATAGGCAAACGTACATCACTTAATTTTGTAATTAGTGAAACTCTTTTTAGCTTAAACAATTGGAAATTTTAACATATGTTTTCATCAAATTTTAACAACATTATCACAGTTAAAACTTTTTAATTAGTGAACATGATGAACCAACTCCTTTATACTGTTGCATTTGGTATACATTCTATAAGATTACCTAAATATCGAGAAAGCACTCAGGAGCCTTCTGACAGGAAAAGACAGCTGAATAAGAGAAGCCAGGCTTGACTTTGGAATTGTTACAAATGAAAATTAATGAAGATATTGATTATTCTATATTGAAATAAATATAATAACAATCTATGTGGAGAAATGAAATAATTTCGATCACAACATGGTTGATTTTGTTCTGTTGAAAGTTCCTCCATTGTCATGATTGTTAAATTTTTATCCGTTATGTCCAGGAAGATCTTCATTGACCCCTGGTCAATGGGCCTAACTATTCATAAAAAAAGAACTTGAAATTGGTCCTCCATCATGTTTTGTCCATGAACCTGTATCTGTCCAACTTGTAAGTAAAATCTGCCCTCAACTGTCAAATACTTCTGTTTGTTTTATTACTTTTTGACGTGTTGAAGTCCCCGTTGAAGCATAAAATGTTTGCTATTATGTTAAGAATGTATATAGTGTATACAATGAATTACTTGTAAATTATAAATTGATAATGTAAGAAATTTATTGTTCATAGTCATTATTAGTTGTTGTATGTGTGCCTACCGCCATGTACAGTACTTACCACTTGGCAATTTTGAAATTCATGACTTACCTTTTATCTTTCTTTCATGTTCATAGGTTGTATTTAGTCTCAAGAAAAGGTGTGGGGAGCTTACTGAAGAAGAATTGAACAAGTTAGCAGTACAACTACTGAACTGTCAATCACAGGCAGAAGGGAGACCTGTGTTTAAATGTACCACTGAAATGGTAAGATGTTTGATCAAAGGTATATATCTACATGTGTGCCTAAGTTCCTTCTTAATCACATCTGTTTATTGGGATCTTTTACTCCAAAAATAAAAATAGTCAGGCAGGGTGCAGATTTTAGAGTACCAAACTATAAGCAAGATGTAAGATAAAAACTAGCTTGTTTAAGTTAAGTCTGTCATATAAAAAAGAAGATGTGGTTTGATTGCCAATGAGACAACTCTCCACAAGGTACCAAATGACACAGAAATTAACTATAGGTCACCGTACAGCTGCCTTCAACAACATGTTTGTTATTGAAATTGTAGAGGCCACCCTTATTTCTTTTTAAAACTTCAAAAAATAACATACCCGGTAATCCATATTAATATGCAAGTTTAATTTTTAAATCCATATGAAAGGAGAAAAACAAAACAAAGGATGAAGCTAGATATTGACAGATGTCCCTGATAATTCATATTTAAGATCTGTTTATTGGGATTAAAAACCTTAATAAACAGGAACAGGTCAGAAGGATGGGCATTCTTGGAAGAGATGACTCCGATTTATCATACCACCTGACCACCAGCTTAAAGCAAATATTTAACCTACATGTACTCTATCACATACCAGTCAAAAAGATTTCATCCTGATATTTTTCTTAGTGTCTTGGTTAACCCTATAGTGGTCTTGACATGAATGAATAAGTTATGATATTAAACTACCAAGACTGCTAATTAGTTACAGATTTATCTAATGGTTATTAAAATCCTATTTTTTATTAGGGTATTTCATGTATTTAGACAATTTATAGTGTAAGTGAATCAAAGCATTTGATTTTATAACTGAGACTTTTAACACACATACTTTTGCAATCAAAAATAAGTTGTTTTACAATTAATTTTACCAATCATGCATACATATATATACATCATGTACATTGTATGTTTATAAAAGTTGTATTTATTTTTTGATTTCACAGACAGAGGAAATGATGTGTAGGGTAACCTTTGTATATATAAAAATAAGAAGATGTGGATAATGAGACAACTCTCCACCAGAGACCAAATGATGTAGAAGTATAAACAACTATAGTTCACTGTATGGCCTTCAACAATGAGCAAAATACATACCGCATAATAAACTATAAAAAGCCCAAATATAACATACTTCATTTAGTTTTAATTGATTGTTACTTTTTTCATAAAATATATGAAAGGCATGTAATTGATTTTATTTATCTTACTAGACTCTAGCTGACTGTACAAGGGAGATGGATGGACCAACATGGAATGCCTATCAGATTGTTGGTAACAGAGCTAGGGCAATGTGTTATGCTACACAACAGGAACAGTTTAGAAGGATGACAGAGATGACTGTCAGTGATTTGGTGAATGCAGCTACAAATCAGCTGGACAGTATGGAATTAATAAAGGTCTGACTTGTATCTGTTTTAGAGTAGATGAGCTTGAAAGTATAAGAATAGTAAAGGTTTCTTCTTTTTTTCTGATTTTATGAAGCTACAGATTGATTTTACAGTACATGCTGTACAGGTTTTTTATTAACATTTTCTTTCTTATCTGCACTGTTTGTAGTACATATCATGCACATACTGATGTTCATTACCATGATTACTAAATAAAATCTTGGTAATTTTGGGTATAAATTGATGATTAAATATTTCTAAAGTTTTATAACAAGTCAAAGATACTGGTTTGCACACACATGTTTCTGGAATCTGGCATATGACCAGTCAGAGCTCTGACATAAACAAGTCAGAATAAAATGACTTCTTCAAGTCAGAAAGTGTTTTGAAATTCTGACCTGTACGCGTCAATTTTTGTTTTGCATAGTTTTCACTGAGTCCGTCAAACCAGAAGTTATTTTGAATTTGCCGCCGATCTACGACACATACGATCACGTGGTTTTTTGCAAGAGATCACTTGTTTGAGAGTCGTTGTTTTGGAAGTGTCTCGAACGAGAAGTCATTGAATATTATATTGATTATTTACGATTTTTAGTGAAAATCTAGGTCATTGTGGGCATTTTTAGAAAGGTAATTCATATTACCTCCGTATTTTGATGGGCATTTTTATATTTTTTGCCTATAAAGAAGTTCCTTGCAAGTGATTTTTTTGCTGTTTCATGAAGGCGCGCGACCTGTAAATACGGACGCGTGGTCTTTTAGATGACCTGGTGTTTGACAATTCTGACTTGTTCAGGTCAGAAAATGTTGTTATGATAATGAATTGTTATTTTCGGGAGATAACTCGTGTTGTCTTAAACAATATTAACCAGTCAGTGCAATTTAAAAAGTAAAATTATTGCTTCGAGCTGAACATCGTCACGTGATTTTTCTATTTTTAAACTCAATCACGAACTGATTTTTTAACCTTTCTGATTCGTTTCTCCCTATGAGAAAAACGATCATTGTGAATATTGATATGATGATAATGAAACGAAAATGGGAAAAATTTTAATAAAAGAAAAAGGAAGGGAGGGGTTTAACTAAAGAACCCAAGGGTTTTTTTTTTATTTTTAAAGTTATAACTTGAGAACAACAAGTGATGCACACACCTGGTCTTCATTTATGATCATGGGACATGATAAAACAAATCAAATGAAATGTAGGGCAAGTCTCCAGGGATCACCCCTATCCCTGTCATTTCTCTATTCCTCTTTATAATGTCAAATTGATTTGAATGAAATATACCGGGCTAGTCTCTAGGTTTACCCCCACCCCCTGCCATTTGCAAATGTTCTTATATTTTGTAAACGGTAGAGATCCCCACCCCTAAACCATATATATTCTTGTATGGGACAATTTAACAAATCAAATGATATGTTGGGGAGGTCCCTGGGGGTCACCCCTACCCCTCCTGTTTGAAAACTTGTAAACGGTTGAGATCCCCACCCCTAAACCATATATTTTTTTTGAATAGGACAATAAAACAAATCAAATGAAGTATAGGGGAAGTCCCTTGGGGTCACCCCCACCCCCTCCTGTGTGAAAACTTGTAAACGGTCGGGATCCCCACCCCTTAACCATATATATTCTTGTAAGGGTCAATAAGACAAATCAAATGAAATAAAGGTGGAGTCCCTGAGGGTCTCCCCACCCCCTCATGTTTGAAAACTTGTAAACGGTCGAGATCCCCACCCCTACACCATATACATTCTTGCACAGGACAATAAAACAAATCAAATGAAATATAGGGGAAGTCCATTGGGGTCATCCCCATCCCCCTTTTTGAAATGTTCTGGATCACCACCCCTAAAGGTAAACCATATGATATTCCTGTTCGTCATTTCAAGAAGATTTGAATGACATGCAGGGTCAAACCCTAGGCGTCACTTATGCATATCACTTTACTAGACAAAACCAAATTGTACTGGAACTTGCCCAATGTCAGGCAACCATGGGAATGACGAATTATGGGAGCTTAAATTTGTTTGGGAGACTTCGTAACAGCATCCTGTTACAATTATTTCTTGTTTATTTTAATCTGCTGAGAGACCACCTTTACATATTATATTTATCAGTGTTTGTGCAAACAGAATTGTCTATTCAGTATTATTTTCCTCTCACATGCATCACATCTTATTAATTACATGGATATAGGAAGATGTGGTATGAGTGCCAATGAGACAACTCTCCATCCAAGTTACAATTTATAAAAGTAAACCATTATAGGTCAAGGTACGGCCTTCAACACGGAGCATTGGCTCACACCGAACAGCAAGCTATAAAGGGCCTCAAAAAATTACTAGTGTAAAACCATTCAAACGGAAAAACCAACGGTCTAATCTATATGAAAAAAAAATAAATTTTGGCATATTTGTTTTCCTCTGAAATTACACATCTATAATTCTTACCCCAGATGCTTAGCCACATGAAGCATTTACCTCTTATTTGAGACATAGATAGTCTTTGTTTCTACAGAAGTGAGAAGAACATTGGAAGTCAATGTTCTGACTTATAAAAGTCTGAATGTTCTGACTTAATAAGGTCAGAAAGACTCAGAATGATCTGAAAATACTGACTTTTTTTAATGTTTAGAGTATTTTAGAATATGAATGCACTTGTCATGCTAGTACCATAAGAAACCCTGACAAGATTTTGTTCCCAAACAACAATTTTTAAAGATATTAAGAATAACAAGTGTACAATGGAACATAAGTTACAAAGTTATAAGTGTTGTGAAAAAAGCTATTTAAAAAAAAATCAAAAGATAGTTATCTTTCAACTTTTACATGTATTTAAAAAACAGTGAAAATATTATGGATTATATGTACGGCTTCTTGAAGGACAACAAAGTCACCATATTTGGTCTGAATTTGTATGTTTTTTCTCCTCAAATTTTTTTTAACATTATTAATGTCGGCTTTTTTCTTAACTAATTTTAAACATTCTTAATTATAATTAAATTCCCCAACATTTTGCTTACAAACTCTTTAATTTCTAAAGTCAAATTGAAAGTTGTCTTCACAGATTCAATGTGTCTGAAAATGTTATATTGAAAAAACAATACTTTTATATCCTCAAATAAAATGGGTATACCATGAGTTTAATGGTCATGCAGATATGCAATCCAGGATGTTAACAATCAGAGTTTAGATTACAGTCATATAGTAATAGGCAGAGTTTTTCTTATATAATCAATAACCAGAGTAAAGATAATTGATTAATAGAGGTTTAGTTTAATATAAGTAATAAACAAAGCTAATTAATACACTTGCAATAACATACATGTAGTTAAATTAGTAAATACAGAATATTCATAAATAAAATGCTTCGCTGGGGCGCAGCTTGATACGACCGCAGAGGTCGAACCCTGAACAGTTGGGGCAAGTATGGACACAACATTCAAGCTTGATACAGCTCTGAATTTGGATTGTTATTAAATATTTGACACAGCATAGGTTTCTGATACAGAAAGAATGTGGTCTAAGAACTTGAATTTTTTTAATTTACCTATTATGGTCCAATGTCCAAAATCAAAATACATGGTTAGATTCAGCATATCAAAGAACCCCATATATTCAATTTTTGTTAAAATCAAACAAAATTTAATTTTGGACCCCAACTTGGACAAACTTGAAAACTGGGTCCATCATCAAAAATCTAAACACATGTTTAGATTCAGCATATCAAAGAACCCCAAGAATTCAATTTTTGCTAAAATCAAACTAAGTTTAATTTTGGACCCTTTGGACCTTAATGTAGACCAATTTAAAAAACGGGACTTAAAATTAAAAATCTAAATACACGGTTAGATTTGGAATATCAAAGAACCCCAATAATTCAATTTTTGATGAAATCAAACAAAGTTTAATTTTGGACCCTTTTGACCTCAATATGAACCAATTTGATAGCGGGGCCCACAAATAAAAAATCTAAATTCATGGTTAGATTCAGCATATCAAAGAACCCAATATATTCAATTTTTGTTGAAATCAAAAAAAGTTTAATTTTGGACCCCAACTTGGACCAACTTGAAAACTGGGCCCATAATCAAAAATCTAAACACATGTTTAGATTCATCATATCAAAGAACCCCAAGAATTCAATTTTTGCTAAAATCAAACAAAGTTTAATTTTGGACCCTTTGGACCTCAATGAAGACCAATTTAAAAAACGGGACTTAAAATTAAAAATCTAAATACACGGTTAGATTTGGCATATCAAAGAACCCCAATAATTCAATTTTTGATGAAATCAAACAAAGTTTAATTTTGGACCCTTTTGACCTCAATATGAACCAATTTGATAGCGGGGCCCACAAATAAAAAATCTAAATACATGGTTAGATTCAGCATATCAAAAGAACCTCATATATTCAATTTTTGTTGAAATAAAAAAAAATTAATTTTGGACCCCAACTTGGACCAACTTGAAAACTGGGCCCATAATCAAAAATCTAAACACATGTTTAGATTCATCATATCCAAGAACCCCAAGAATTCAATTTTTGCTAAAATCAAACTAAAGTTTAATTTTGGACCCTTTGGACCTCAATGAAGACCAATTTAAAAAACGGGACTTAAAATTAAAAATCTAAATACACGGTTAGATTTGGCATATCAAAGAACCCCAATAATTCAATTTTTGATGAAATCAAACAAAGTTTAATTTTGGACCCTTTTGACCTCAATATGAACCAATTTGATAGCGGGGCCCACAAATAAAAAATCTAAATACATGGTTAGATTCAGCATATCAAAAGAACCTCATATATTCAATTTTTGTTGAAATCAAACAAAGTTTAATTTTGGACCCCAATTTGGACCAACTTGAAAACTGGGCCAATAATCAAAAATCTAAATACATGTTTAGATTCCGCAAATCAAAGAACCCCATATATTCAATTTTTGTTGAAATCAAACAAAGTTTAAATACTAGACCCTATCTTGGACCAACTTGAAAACTGGGCC